TCTCTCTCTCTCTCTCTCTCTCTCTCTCACACACACACACCTACGCCCCCAGCACCCTAAAATTGCCCCCCTCCTCCTCACTCTGTCCCCCTTTTGCAAGCCAGTCTCGCTCCCGCGCTGCTGGCCCCACCACCCATGCTTTCCTTATACTCTCTGTTTGCTGTCAGGTTCCTCTTTTTTCTTGTCGTGAAAGAAGCAGGGCAGTTCATTTTGCTTCTTATGTCATTTGTGCGTTTTCCTTTCCTTTTGTGCAGGCGAAGCCACAACAGGTCATCTAGTAGGAGAGAACCCTTACTCCTCTTTTTTTCCCCTCGTCTGGCATTCTCCTTTTCATTCTTCTTTCCTTTCTACTAGTCCTTTTTTTATGCTACTGGGTACAAGGTTGCCCACTTTTGTGTGGTCGAACCATAAGTGGCCACACACTCGTAAACATGGGTAACCTTGCCTTCTAACTTTACAAAGGGCCGGCATCGTGGTGCTTCCGCTCTACTCAATTCTTGGTGCGATAAGAATTCTCTGACAGAGGGCATGGTGTAGAGAAGAAGGGAGCAAAAGAGATGGAGGGCAAAGTGGGGACCACATCTGCAAAGAATACCTGAGTGAAGAGGTCTTCCGTATGAATCACAACATCCAGAGCTACATTGCACACACTCTCCACGTCCGATATAGCGAACTCTGTCTTCGTGTTCAAGAAGCTGGGCGCGCAATCCAAGAGACGCAAACAGGCACCCCAACCAAATGGTACGTTAACAAACAGTCCACCACGGAAAATAAATAGGTGAGAACTGCAACATACGTACAGATGCAGAGTTCACACCCCCTTCCAGTTAGAATTCTATGAAAGAGTTTGGGAGCCAAAATTCAAGGACCTGCCACAACAACGACTGAGAACACAGCTGATTTCTGAGTTTTGCCGCTGGAACGAGTGCTTGCTGAGATCCCGCTTTCTGCTGAGTTTTCTAAGTATTTGTGTGTGCGTGCTTGCTGGTCCGAATGCCTGTCTGAGTGCTTGTCGGCCTGAGTGTGTGTGTGGCCCGCCAGGGCACTTGTTGTTTGGGACGCTCGACGGGCCAGTACTTACCTGTGGCTGTGACTTTGGGGTTGTAGCGGGGAAAAATACTAAAGTGGCTGACAGGGGTAACTTACGGCACACTCAAGTAGCGACAGTGTAGGCCCGTAGGCACTCGAGTGGTAGGTAGGCCAGTACCACTCAAAGTAGCAGTAGATGTGTCGGGAACCGGAGGCCGAGCAGAAGAAGACAAAAAGTTGGCATTTTCAGAGGCCCAGTAGCGGTAGGCTAGGTCTAGGCGGGTAGTCTGAGTCTAGGGCCTGTACGGACGATATCAGAGCCTGCAATGATGTTTTCCTCCGAAAGGGAGGAGGTACCGGTTGCTGGTAGGCCACGCGGCCTGGAAGTCACCGCCCAAGAGGCTGGTGGACCGCGTATCCCCACAAGGAGCGACTTGCTCCTCCTCATTTTGCTGCGCGCAAGTTTGGCATCATGCTGCTGGAGCACTGGTTGGGAGCAGTGCTGGTGGGATGAGGATTGCCCAGCTCTCCACCTTGGCTATGGTGGAGGAGCTCAGGAAGGAGGGAAGGGGACTAGGAGAGGGGAGCGCCAGGGGTACTTACCTGGCTATGGTAGGCGCATCCTCATCACCTCGGTGGGCACTCAGGAAGGCCCCTATTGAGGTAGAGCTGCATCAAGAAGGTTCAAGGCAGAGTCGAGCATGGCGGGCTGAGAGGAAGAGGCCATAGCTGCTTTGCGCTGCCATTTGCATGTCAGAACAAGGCCCTTAGTAGTCCACCATAGCCTCGGCCTGCATGACGAAGCGAGAGGAGGTCGGCCATCGATATGGTGGACCTCGTGTTGTGCTGGCAGTAGACAAGGGATTCAGACATTGATTCCGGTTCAGCCATTCAACATTATTATTATTATTTATTGTTTGAATAAGAGAGGACTACATGAGGAGTTGGTTGGCGAGAAGAAGGGGAGGCAGAGTCAGGCATGGCGGCCCGAGAGGAAGAGGCCATAGCTGCTTTGCGCTGCCTTTTGCATGTCAGAACAAGGCCCTTAGTAGTCCACCATAGCCTCGGCCTGCATGAAGAAGAGAGAGGAGGTCGGCCATGGATATGGTGGACCTCGTGTTGTGCTGGCAGTAGACAAGGGATTCAGACATTGATTCCGGTTCAGCCATTCGACATTATTATTATTA